TGGTGACAACCTCATAAACACCTCATTAATTTAACCCATATTTATTTCATTATTCAATTTATACATACCTTTGCTTTTCCTTGTTGAAGAAAATAATGTTTTTGCTCCACAAACCTGTTAAAATAAGTTTAATTAAGTTGATTAAAGCAAATTCAATTTTTAAAACTATTACTTTTCTTATTGCATCACATTTAAAAAGAATTGTAGATTTTTTTAGTATATATGAACTAAAGGATTTATTTAATTAAAGTATATCATATTTACTTTTCTTAACATGTAAAACAGGAAATACATGCATATAGTATAGTCCTAATAGTAGTGAACCTCACCACAAGCAGGATCCCCACTGGTCTTCCACCACACTCTGATGTTTTTCCTCTACCCCTTATATATGATCCACTTTGCCTACATGGCAGAGATTGGAGCATGCCTCTGGCCAAACAAGGTTTCATGACAACTGATTTATGAGACTAAATTTAGAAAAATTCGATCGTAATCTAATTTGCTTACAAATTCTTTTGAAATACTCTTAGAGGATACAGGGTTTCACATATCATGTTTCAAATGCGATGTTATGGTTTCCCTAACATAACAAGATTCAAATAAATTCCATGAGTGTTCCTTTACTACATTGAATTATCTTCCATAGCTGATTTAATAAATTAATCAATTGAGTTTACTGAATGATTTAAATAATTGTTACAGTCGATGTGAGGAAGAAGAAAACCATTTCCCATTCTATTTTTTTCAGTCTACTGTGGTCAAATAGAATAAATCTGGTATGTTGAAGCAGCCTAAAACTAAGTTCTTTATTTAAAGTTTGAAAATGTTTTATCAATCTTTTGAATTGATTCATTTCTTGAGCCAGTTTGAAATGCTCTACATTTCTAAGACACATGTCTGAGACGAAATAGAATCTGCAAATAGCTGGCAGTCGGTGTATTGGTCCTTATATGTACTGAAGCTGTCGCTGAGCACAGCTTACTCCATTTTCATGTATTTGAAGACACTCGAGATATGGGATCATGTTTCGACATCTAAGATCAAATATCATATCATTTCTTTAATTCATTCATCTTTTTAGCATTTGACAAGTTCCAATGGAAATGAAGAAACCCTGGCACAAGCCAAAACATTTGGACCTTGTCACTCTTCATTACACAGTTTACTATCCAGAATTAAAT